CCCCCCCCACCCACACACACACACACATACACATACACACACGTCTGCACTCAAGCAGGCGCGCAGGTGCACGTGTGGCCCAACCGAGCAGGTGCGAGGAATGACTGCCTGCGGGTCAGCCGACAACTCTCGTAGAGGGTCGTGGCTCCATTACTACTTGCTCATTTAGTTACAACACGAACAACACACATAAAGCCCAAAAAAACAAAAGCCGCGTTAACCGCACACGGAAAGTGAAGACCATCTCATACGCATACACATGTGGTTGCCTATACTTCCGTGCAGGCCCATCCCCAGCGAGGATGGAGGCACCACAGTGCACTAACTGTGAACTACACGTACTCGACTGCCATGTCATGCTCGCCCAAGTCTGTCTGCCGCTGCGTCTCCTTCTTGACGCGATCCTCTTCTCGGGTGCGTTCACGTGTCTTCTTTAGTTGCATGTTGAACTCGCGATCCTCCTGCTTTTTTCCAACCAACTCTTCAACGGTGAGGCCTTGTCGCCTCGCTTCATCCTCGAGCATCATATGCTGCGCCTCCTCCATCTTTGTCTTGATGTCCTTCGACACATTCTTCTTCATAGCGACAATCTCCTTCTCTACGTCCTTCAACCGCGCGCCAACCTTCACGCCAGCCTCACCCCACAACTCCTGCGGCACATCCTGCTTCCCCTTCAGGAGGGACGAGAGTTCGCGCAAGGCCCTCAGCTTGTCCGAGTACATTCGTGCGACGTGGTGAGGATTCAACAATGAAAGCTCTGCGGGTGCGACGAAAGAAGGATGCAAAACAAACGGAGAGATAGAAGAAGAAATAATAGTAATAAGAAACACCTTCTACCACCACTACCAGCAGTCACGGCAGCCAAAGCAAGCCTGCACAGCAAAGAAAGGGAAGGGGGGGGGGGGGGGGGAAATAAACAACAATCCGAACAAAGGAAGCAAGGTAAGGAGGAAACACCCACACACGCAGCTACGCTCAAACCAACGACAACTAAATAAAAAAGAAGGGAACGTGTACGTGGCCATCACCACTAGGCACTCCTTGCTTCTACGAGGCAAGCAAAGTTGCACACGCTGCTTTACCTTTGATTGGATCCATCGTCAGATGCCTAGACAGTTTCATCCTGTCGCTCTCGGAGAAAAACATCAATCGGTGTAATACCAACATCCTCTAAAAGTTCCTCAAGGGACCTATCGATGTATGACTCCCACCAGACATTGAGCATGCAGGGAATGTATCGTTGCCCGTGACACTGATTGGGTGCATTGATCTCAGCCCATTTGCGGTAAAGAGCCATGTTTTTAATCTGTTGTCTATTAAGCGAGGGCATGCCCCCAAGCACCGCTAGAAGACCAAGCGGAATGCCTGTGTGGCGCCACTCCAGCAGTTTTATGGCCAGTTCCTCCTCGACGGTGCGTCCACAGCCAGTGCACGTGTGCAAAAAGTCGTGTGTCTCGCGGTAGCGCCGCATGACGTACGCAAGCGTTGGGTCCGCGACGCGGGTGACAGGGGTACGACCACTTGGACGGAAGTGATTGTGATTCATGTACAGCGCGTAGCGATGCCCGAAGGTTCCTGGCGGCTGCCGGCTGGCGCGCTCCAGGACGTCATCCGTTACACAAGGTTGGTTCTTAAGGATCATGCGGCCGGTACGCTCCGCCAGCATCACCCGCTTCATGTGCTCCAGCGCTGCCGTTGCGGTTATCTCCCCAACAGCAGCGACGGCGTCGGCGTTTGTCGGGTCCCAAGCGGCGCTGACGCTGGCGGCAACAAAAGACGGCAGCGATCTCGCGGCCCCGGCGATGCCTCCAAGCAGCAGCAGTCCCTGTGTCACCATTTGGTGTGAGGGCTCTAAGAGACGGAGCGAAGTAAAAAAAAAAAAAAACAACCACAAAAGAGGGTCAGAAGCAGAATAGGGCAAGAAAAGACACCGACAAGCTGCACCGCACCCGCCCTACCCTTCTTCCGCCATTTGCTTCCTCTGCTTCGTCACCCGTCACCCCGGTCCCGAAGAAAAGTCATGGTGGTGATGAGCCACTCGCGCTCGGAGACGCAGTTGTTGATCTGCACCAACACCCAGTCGTCCTCCAGGAACATCTGCGCCAGGACACGGCGGTCACTATTTACACTGCGAGCGAAGTCCCCCGTCCACCAGCTCTGCTGCTCACCGCGTGTCCCTCCCGCAGAGGTGCTCTTCACAAGAAATTGCTCCAACAAGTATCGCATCTTCACCCGCCCGTTGAGCCGCTCCGCAACGTCATCGGCGCAAAGGACTCGACACGTCACGCTGTCGGCGCCCTTCACATCCCCAAACCGTTTAAAGTGTTCCCAGACCTCAAAGTATGCCAGCTCCTTTGCGAGGTGCAAGGGGGTTCTCCTCAGCATCTACCTTGGTGCCAGTCCGCAGAACGAAAAGGCAGGGACAGGACGAGAGGGGAGGCAGAAAGAGGTGGACGACGAGGACGAAAAAGTTGAAATTTAAAATAAAGCAACCGCATAACAAAGTAAAGTGAAGAGAGAAAGGAACAACAACAAAAAATATGAAGCGAAAGGAAGCGGGATAAAGCAACCATCCCCGTCTCTTCCAAAGACTGTCAACTTCCTTGCTGACAGTATCTGTGTGTGGTGCTGATGTACACGCCGTCACCGCTGACGGCGGCTCGACCCATGACGTCCGCGACCACTGCCACTGCCGCGCCATGGACGATAACCGTTCATATAATGTCCATTAGAGAAGGGCATGACATCACCGTCAAAGGAATCGTCGTCCGGGTCCATGTGCTCAGAGTCATCCCCAATGTCGTAACCAAAAGGGTCGTTAAACTCATCAAATTCTGTGAAATCAATATCAGGGGACTCTGCGTAATAGTACCCTCTTGAGCGCCGTTGCGCTGGGCGCAAGGACCGCTTTTTATCTTCGCTCCAGCGGTTGAACTCCGAGACAACTTCAACCGTCTGCTTCCCTAGAGCATTTGCAATAAACTCAAAGCTCTTTCCATCCTGGTACATATTCACCATCGCCTGCACGTCAGCATCAGGCCAACTCGTCGTCTTTCGGGAATTGCCACCCTTGGGGTGCCGACGATTGTTGTCTCCGTACGCCTTTTTTTGTCCATCTCGTGGCGTCTCACTGCCTTGCTGTCGATCATGATGCCGACGGGACTGCCGCCGCCTGCTTTCCTGACCACCACCTGCAGCAGCAGCGTGTGCGAAGGCGTCACTATTAGCTTGCCGACGCATCTCATCCCACATCATCTCGTAAATGAGCGGGTTAAGATCTTCGTGCCAGGGCTGGTACGGCTCATCCTGCGTGGTGTAGTACGACTGGTTGCTGCCACTAGACGATGCCTGAGAACCGTTCGGCATGGCGCCTCCCGCTTTATGAAAGCGAGTAAGCGTGGCATAGGCGTTGTTTATGTTCACCATGCGTGTGGCCGCGTTATTTTCATTGCCGCCGTTTACATCGGGGTGGTGCTGCTTTGCGAGCTCCACATAGCGCTTCTTCACGTCCTGAAATGGGGCTGAGGCGGTGACCCCCAGGGCCGCGTAAGCGTTGCGTACCTCTTGCTCCGTCGGAACCTCCGAAGTCATCCACCGCTGCTGCAAAAAAAGGGCTTGCTGCACAGACCCAAGCGGCCGCCAGAATTTGGTCCAGTGCTGCATTTTCTCTGGCAGTCCCTCAAAAAAATAATAATAATAATAATAATAAATAAAAAAAAATGGTGAAAAACTGCAGATGTCGGACGTGGGGGAGTGGCAAAGGATGAAGAGGGCAACAGACACAACCACCACAAAGAAGAGAGAGAGAGATGGCTACGCAGGTAGCAGCCGCATCCATGAAAGATAACTCGCCGTCAGTGTACTGCTTCTCATCACACTTAATGCGCCGCCTTGCACCGTACTCTACACGGAAGGACAAAAAAAGAGGGGTGAAACGTGCGGGGGAGGAAGGAGGGGTGTTGGCGGAGGCAACTTCCAGCGCGCCCCCACACCGCCACCGCCACCGCCACAAACGGCCTGACTGCCAGCCTCAACACACGAAGAAATAAGGAATCAAAAAAAAAAAAAAAAACAGACACATATATTACATACATAAGTGAAGAACGTAACAATAAGAAGACCAACAAAAAGTGCGGGGTCAAAGATCCTCCTCTGCAGTGCGGCCACTTTTTGCCTCCCACCCGTTAAATCCCTCAGAAAAATGTGTCGCCATTTGATAACCCATCGACTCCACCACCTCAACCGCCGTTGCAGCCCGGCCGCTCCGTTGGTCGTAGAAGACAATTTTGTCGGACTTACGCGGCATGCGAGACTTGTACTTCCCCATGAACTCCGCCTCATTCAGACGGAACGCCCGGCGCAGCTCTGAGGAGGGGATGTGCAACGAAAACGGAATAGAGCCGTGTTCCTCCACCTCAAAGTTATCGCGCACGTCAACGATAAAGACATCTTTATTCTTTCCCTCCCTTTTGCTCTTCACGAGTGCCTCCATCTCAAAGAGGTCCATCACCTTCTTCTTCTCAAACTTCTCAAACGACATATCTTGGCCCATGACTTATTTCTTCTTCTTACTTCACCTGAAACGCCACTTCCCACAAGAGAAGCATGCGAGTCGCACAAAAAAAAAAAGTTTCCATAGGAAAGAAGACAAGGAATAGAATGAAAAGTAAGGTGAAGCACGAATGAAACAACACGGTGGAGCACAAGATAACCACCAAAAGGGCGAGAAGGAGAGGAGTCAAATGAAAGGAGGCCGGAGAGGCAGAAGAGGAAAAGAGGAGAAGGAAGAGACATAAATCATTATTTCGCCACACACCGCAGCGTTTCCACCTCAATCATCCAAATGTTTATCCTCCGCAGCCCAATTCGGGGCCGATAAGTATGAAGCACGGACACATAGAAGCTTAAAAATTGAACGCATCACGGGTTTGGTGTCAGTGGACTGTCCCCATTCTTCTGCAGCTCGCCGTAGTACTTCTGCCATGCGGCAAAACCACCAGTGACGTTCCCTGCACCGCTGAAGCCCAGACCCTCTACCACTTCAACGGCAATGGAAGAGCGCACACCGTGGGCGCAGTAGAATATTATCTGAGTAGTCCCTGGTTGAGGCTTCGGCACGCCAAAAGTCTCAGCAAACTCCTCCTCCCCCACCTCGTCACTGAGAGCAGCCTCCAACAGCTTCAATGGAAGATTCACAGCTGTGGGAATGACACCTGTCGCCGAAACCTCGCCAGTGGAGCGGACATCAACGAGAAGTGTGTTTTGCGCCGGTTGCGCCCCACGGAGTTTTGCCCGCACCAGCGCCGCCACCTGCTCCACCGTGACACCGACGCGCAAACGCCGAGTCAGCCCAAACATCCCTACCACAACTTATCAAAAAAAAAAAAGTGCAATAACGACAACGCGCCCAAAACAAATCACAACAACAAAGATGTTTCTCTACTAAAACCCCCCAAAACTGAGTTGTTTACGGGCTCCGTGCCACTGCAGCACTTATCCTCCTCCGCGGTACGGCTATCAAGAAAGCGGCTGACGCCCCTCTTTTCCCCAGTCCCCCTCTTAACAATACAAACACCGCACGCACCACGAGTTCACACACACACACACACATGGGCACGGGGGCAGAGACGAACACTCACTGCCACACGTGCCACCCAAATAAATGCGTTTAAAGCGTTTTCATTTTCCACAGGTTCGTTCCCGGAATCTCCTCTTAGCGGGGACAGCTTGGGCTGTTACCCAAACAAAAGACACCCACAACAATAAATAATAATTTTAAAAAAAACAGTGGATCAGCTGTTTGGAGCATAAACATCTACAGACGGAAAACAGTTGCCTACCAGTTCCACGCGCATTAAAATAACATATTAGACGTGGGAAGGAGCATTGCTAGATGCCCGGCCCACCGGCACCCCACTAACCCTCCTTGTGTTCATCGGCATGCTTAGACCACTCGTTCCAGCTCCCAGGATAGACCGCAGTCTTTGTGTAACCACACTCTCTGGCCAGTTTCTCTCCCTTCTCCGCACGTTTCCCCGACAAGCAGTACACGACGAGCTTGTCATCTTGTGGTGGCTTGGGAATCGCATAATTTTTTTGGAACTCCTCCGGGTCACTTTTCAACGCAGCCTCAAGCTGATCGAGGGGCACGTTTACGGCCCCGGGAATCATTCCTGTGCTCTCCACCTCTTCCTCATCTCGCACATCAATCAGGTGAGTTCCATGAAGCTGGCCTTGGAGCTTGCTTTCCACAACGGTCTTCATGTCCTCATAGGTAAGAAGCTGCTGCATCTTGGCCTGGGCGTTTGTGAGTTACTTGTCTTTTCACCTACAAAAAACAAACAAACAAGGAGAGAACAACCTGCACGACTGCTCAGTCATACACAGTCCGTCCACATACCGGCACTGCCCAAAGAAGCACCCAAAATAGCATCCACCGTTTGCAATAACGACAACGCGCCCAAAACAAATCACAACAACAAAGATGTTTCTCTACTAAAACCCCCCAAAACTGAGTTGTTTACGGGCTCCGTGACACTGCAGCACTTCCTCCTCCGCGGTACGGCTATCAAGAAAGCGGCGGACGCCCCTCTTTTCCCCAGTCCCCCTCTTAACAATACAAACACCGCACGCACCACGAGTTCACACACACACACACACACACACACACATGGGCACGGGGCACAGGCGAACACTTATTGCCACACGTGCCACCCAAATAAATGCGTTTAAAGCTTTTTCATTATCCACAGGTTCGTTCCCGGAACCTCCTCTTAGCGGGGACAGCTTGGGCTGTTACCCAAACAAAAGACACCCACGAAAAAAAGAAGGCAACGACCGGTGAGATATGAGTCTTCGTAGCACCCATGCAAAGATGGAGCCACCAGTACAAGGGAGATGATTGAAAAAAAAAATTACTTCTTGACCAGTGTGGAGCACAGCCATAATTTGAAATCAAAAACAACTAGAACAAAAAAAAACACACGAATCGCAACAGCATCTTGTGAGCCTTTTTTACCAGCTTCACTTTACCCCATCACGAGTAGAGCGATCGTATTTAGGGGTGAGCCGCTGAATTTATAGCGATACCCAATTTTTTTTCGGCCAATCAGAGCAATAAGGGAAGGTGTCGTTCGCAAGCAAGTGAGTTCCGTTGAGTAGGCCGAGGCGTGAAGCACTCTAAAACACGCATCGGCAACACCTTCGTACACCTCTCGTACCTCCTCCCACAAAACAAAGTGACGTCGGTCCCTGACGTCAGTCTCTAGAACAAACACAGCATGGCTTGCCAGTGAGACCCAATACTGCACACGTGCGCTCGCCGCTTCGTCGTCCGCAATGGTGGAAAGAACGTGCTGTAAGATCACAAAATCAACCGCAGCACCGCCAATATCATCTCCATCAAAAACAACGGTGATTTTCACACCACCAAAATACAAGGGTGAGGGAAGGATGCCATTGCGGTATGCCCCTGCCAACATACGCTGCGCAGCCGGATTTTTTAATATTCGCGTCGATTCATCAGACATCACCACCGTGGCGTCTGGCGTGGCGCCACGTGTCGATGCGGCAGGTCGTGGTAGGACGACAAGGACGTGGATGGGTTCGGTTGAATCAGCAGCTGCCATGGCGCCGCCACACGGCGTGAGACCCAGATTTTTTACTTGTGCCTCTGGAGTCAACCAGCCGTTTTTCTCAAAGTCTACTCTTCTCTCCTCCTGTTGATAATCAAACGCATCGTTCTCCAACCAATCATTTGTGTGCATTTCTCGCGCCGCATCACCGCGACGGCGTGCTTCCTCAATGCGCTTCGTCTTCTCCAAGCGTCTCTCCTGCTCCTCAGGCGGCATATTCCTCAAATATCGGGTTCCACCAAAGTAAAAATCCTTCAGCTTGACATTTAATTTATGCATGCCGATAGCTTCCCGCGGCATGCCGTTCTCACTGACACATGCATGATTTAAATGAGCCGCGAAAAGAACCCAAAAAGAGTGTTCTTCAGCGGCTGATGGCGTTTCTTTGCGTAGCAGCGCAAACATCACCTGCTTTGCCACCTCACATAGATTAAAAAAGGCTGCATTCATCGCAGAACTGTTGTTCCACGTAAATTTCTTCCGTGCCGGATCCTTCTGACAGAGACGACTCCAATCCTTCTTTACAAGCGCCAACCAATGGGCGCGACTCTGGCTCCATATGGAGATGAGGTCTGGTCCAACTTCACTTGCTAACCATTTTTCCTCAAAAAAGTACTGTTTCTCTTCGGCAGCTTTAAGAACACCTTCTATTTCGCTGAACCCCCCGGTAGAAGGCACCTTGACTACCACAGGAAGATGTATGGGCATAAGTTGCTCCTTCCCGCGTGGTGGAAGACCATCCTCAGTTAGCAGAGACTCCCCGAATAACGACACCTCCAGCGTTGGATTTTCCAGCAGTAACTGGTGCAACCTCAAAAGTTTGGTGGCACAGCCATGCAAGGCGCAAAGACTGGCTGCTCCTCCAAACGGTGTGAGCGGAACAGGAAAGGTTGGGGCAGGTTTGTTAAAATTATTCCCATTGTCCTTCTGAAGAATGGCATCCACGAGAGGAGACGGGGAGTCAGCAAGTTCTTTGGCACGCGCCAAACGCCGCATATATTCCGCGACGCAGGCAGGTTCTCCCAGTGCAGCCCTGTAGTAAAAGACGCAGGTAAGTCGATCCCAATCATCTTTGGGATGCGCCAATTCCGGTTCTGTGTTTGAATGAAAGAAGTGTGTGTTAAAAATCAAAACATCCCTTGGTTGCATGCGAAAGCAAACGCCAAAGTCATCAAATGCGAGGTAGAGACCCTCAAATTTGCCCTCCAAAACAGTCAGAACACCGTACCCCATATCAAAATCACCAGCGTCCGTGTGTGAGGCTGTCCGAAACTTTTGATTAATCGTCAAGGTGGAAAATGGGGAGTTGTGAATGCGGACCACGTCCGGCACTGCGGCATCCTGCGCAGCCCATTGTGCTGGAAAAACGGCCTTGTAGATTGCACTCACGTAATCAACCATTGGAAATACATTTGGCCACGACTGGACATGTTCGTGCGTAAAAGAGGTCTTACGGCATTTTAGTTCCACTGGTGAGCCGCGGTAGTCGAAGTAACCGGCGATCCCACTAAGAGGTGCCAACCCACCGAACATATTTGACCTTAACGAAGTCCTTACAGCTGCATGTCGTAGAACGTCGGCTGCCATGCTGGCGGCAAATGCAGGCAAAGCACCTGGTAGAAGAACGCCGCAAACCGCCCCGTTGGCATCTCGGAACACGCTGCCGCCATAAAAGTCAATAGTGTGGTCGGCGTTATCGTGAAACGGATGCTTCTTAACGGCATCATTGTACGCCTTTTCAATATCTTCCGAGGTACGTATTGTGTTTTGCTGTGGAGCAAAATCAGAGAGTTCAAGCCGCTCCTTTTTGAAACGCATTTTCGTGGAAGCAGATTCCTCCTCCTTCACTCTTTCCTTTTTATGCTTCATTGTGTAAAAAGGAGCTTATATGCCACACATAAAAACTCGGATTACACCTTCGTAAAGCTTTCGGTGTGCTATCTGCACGAGGAATTTGTGTGTATGTGTATGCACAAGGAGAAAAGATGTAGACGTGCCTGACGCCGGGACTAAATGCACGACCAAACCTGTAATTTATGCCACTCCACAGAGATGGAGGAGGAGACACTCATGCAATACATGGCGTGCTCGCCCAACTGTGGCGTACACATTCACCGTATCAAAATAGCCGAAAACAGAAACCTTAAATGCATGGAGATGACAGTAAAAAATAATAAACAACACGAACAACCAGTTACATGTTATTTTCTATTTTTCTTTTTGGCTTGTGGAAGGAGGGGGTTAGGGTTCATACAGACAGTGGTGCTGCTCACACTTCACACCCACACGCACGGAGCGAGAGAGTGTGAGGTAGACGCCCACCAGAAGTTTTCTTCCAGTTTCTCGTCTGAATAAGTAGAGTTAATTATATATATATAAATATATACATATATATATATATATATAAATATCAGCGCTAATAAAAGGCCGGTCTCATGTAATAGCAACAAAACACACACACACACAAAAAAAAAAAGCTGAATGGAAAAGAGTCAAACAATCTCAACTGGTCTGCGTGGCGGCCTCCCTCCTTTCCATTTAGCGGCGCCTATTCCTCACGTTTTCTCTTTACTCTTTAGATGCAGCACGACGTCCCGCAACTCCCCTCAAGAAGAGGATAAAAAACTATAAAAATAGTTGTTTCTCTTCTTTTTTTATTTCTACAGCTTTTATGTTTCTGTTTTTGTTTGGATGCTGTGCGGCAGGCAAAGCTCAGGGGAAGAAAATGAGGTACAAACAGATGGCGACGAATGCCACCACAATAGCGAGAGTTGTTGCGTTGCTTGAGGAACCGTGCAGGGGGGGCTGGAGCTTGTCGGCGTCGTCGGGGCTCAAATCACCAATGTAGTACTTCTCCAGATCCATCTTTGCGCTGTCGCTGTGGCCAACGGAGTTGAAGTCGTTCGTCCCGTCTTTGCCAGCCACACCGATGAGCGTGTCAACGCCGCCCGGGTGCTGATCAACAAACTTCGTAACGTCGTAGACCCTTTTGTTTATAATTAGCCATAGATCATCCTCCTTTACGTGCTTCTCCACCTCGGCCAAAGGTATAATTTTCTCCATGTTGCTCTTCACTACTAGCAGTGATGACAAAAAAAAAAAAAAAGAAAGAGACATAAAAAAAATGCATACATGTAGAGCATTATGCAGAGGCAAACTGGTTTGGAGGGGCAAAGCAGAACCGCAGCAAAAGCCGCATGCACAGCCGGGAGCCCAGACGAGTGGAGGTAAAGGAGGCGCTAACTCGCTAACGTCGAACGGTGATGCAGCGAGGCGGTCTCAGGCAAAAGATAACGGTGAAAAGAATTTATGCCCGCAGGACTCAAACGGTTCATTTCTCGCCTACCGCCATGCATACGCATCAAGAAAAGAAACAACATGACGTTCAAAAAATGCGCTGGCTGCGCCACAGTACCGCCTTCGCAATGGTGCTGAACTCCACAAACCCAATTCGCCGGACAACGCCGCTGCCCGATCTCTGCACGCACCCCTCAGGAGGCGGAGGCGGGGGCAGACCTGCTTCGCGGTGAAGCCGGCACTCAACGTCGTACAACTCCAGGCTCATTTTCCCCATCAGCACATCCCTCGGCACACCGCAGTTGACGCCTGCTGCCTTGCGCCGTCGGTCCCGCTCCTTTTTCTGCTGCTTGAAAACACGCATCTCCACTTTTTCCAGGTTGGTGCTGAGGTCCTTCAGGCAGGCCTTCATGCGCCGCTCACGGATGCTCTTCCTCGCCCTCCGCACAAGCTTCATCTTTCACGCAGCTTGCGCAAGACCCGTTCTCTGTACGAAAAGTATTTCTCCAGCCTCCTTAGGTGTATTTTTTGGTCGCCGTTGTTTGCGGCGGCGAGTGTGTGCACCTGGCAAACTACTACAAACGTAGCAAACAGAGAACACAAGAGGGAACAAAACAACAACAAAAAGAAAGAAACGAGAGGAACATACTTTGTTATTATTGTTTTGGTTTCTGTCTGTCTGTCGGTGTGTCCAACTACTGAAACCAACGTGGGCTCCAATACCTACCCCATCCCTCTCCATCCTCCGACTCTCGGAGCCTCCACAAAGAGCACGCCGCGCTGTACATTGCTGGCCTCTTCCCCCGACAAAATAACACAACAGCAGCAACAATATCGTCATGCTGAAAAAAAACAACAACAAAAACAAATGGAGGCGATACACCTTTACATAGTTGACATCTCTCTAGACTTCTTCCTGCACCTTACGACGCACCAGGGACCAATTCACACGCAAGATACCGCGAATACGACATTGGGAGAGGCTGCGTGTGCTGCAGCTTCCGCAAACGATTAAAGTTACGCAGGGAACAACTGACTTTCACTTCGTACAGGTACTCCACATGGTCCACCTCCCGCATACAATACCCGAAAACAGGCTTGACTGGAATCTGCCAGGAGAGACTCCAGACCACGATGACATTGGACCACTGCGAGATGTACATTTTCTTCTCAGGATCTTTGCTATCAAAGAGGAGACGGACACCCCATGCGGTGATGCTGACACTAATGGGGACGTCGCAGCCGACTGGGCGACACCTCTCTATCTCCTTGAGCAGTGATTCCATGACAAGACCGTCGATGCCACTGTTGCAGTGCGTAAACAAAAAGTAAATTGTATTCTTGAAGGTGATTTCCTTCAATGTAACACCGGATGGAATAATGCTCTTAAAGACGCTAAACATGTCGGCTTGTACATGAGAGCTTCCTACACCGTAGCGCAAAATGACATTCACCTCTTTCTTTTCCCCCTCGCGCCGCAGCTTGTCACGAGCCTCCGGGTCCAAAACAATTCCTCGCACAGGAATAAGTTCCGCCCTAAACGGCACCTCCCGATCAAGTTCTTCCCACAACTCAGCAATTAGTTCTTTGTTGCACACCGAACTCATCTTTGACACCAAATACGTCGCAAAGGACCGCCAATCCCGTTCATCCGGTTTTGTTTCAATACCGCCCTTTAGTACTGCATACCTGTAGTGCGCCGGAACACACGGCAGGCGACCCTCGAAGGCTCCTCGAAGAAATTTGGACATGATACGACGCTGCTGTGGTTGATATACAAATTTCAGCGTATGCCCTGTGCTGCTAGCCACCCAGGCAGAGCCGCAAGACATGGGAGTGATGGGCTCCAAATCCAAAGCCACAATCCTCTGAAGTCCCAAAGAGGGTAGTTGTCGTTGAAGAGCAATGCTTATTAACTCCTCCACACTACAAACCGTGTTTGCGTATGGCTCAATAAGTTGGGCTTCACATGGAAGAACAAAATGCATCCCGCGAGGATCTTTCTTGTATGTACGCTCATATTCAGTTGTAGCTTCTGCGGCTAGTTTTATTTCTCGAATAAGCATCAACACCTCAGTGTCATACTCCTCCTCACTTGCCTCACGCGTGGATGCCTCTTCTTTTTCTAGTTCTGCAACGGCCATCCGGAACAATTCTTCCCTTTGCCGCGCAGCCAACTCTGCTTCCTGCAAGGCTTTCTTGCTAGGCGGAGCCCTGCTCGCCTTACGCATCCCCTTCCGGACCTTCTGCGGCGGATATTCCTCGCGGAAGTCCTGCAAAATCCTCCGGTATTCCCTTCCACGTTCCTCGTCGAGAGCCGCTCGCTGGGCACCTTCTGTGATTGAGATATGAAGGCCATGCAAAGAAAAAAGCAGCGGCTGGCGAACACTCATCAACCCACCATATCCACTGATATAAACAAAGCTGGAAGTGTTTTCATCTAACTCCGAAAGCGCCTTCATTAGTGCTGCTCTGGAGGCGTTGGGCAAGTACTTGACCTCGTAGCCATTTTTAGTGAGAGCCGCCGAGAGGTCATTAATGTCATCTGTGATGGGTGATATTCCTTCACAATCAATTTGGTGTAGCGTGACAAGCAACGCGGTGAGGGTTTCCTTGGCCTTCAGCAAAGGGTTCAGTCGCAGTGCATTTATCTCCTCCACCCTTCGCTCTCTAATTTCTTTTTCATACCGAAGGCGCATTGCCTCCAGGCGTGCTTCTCGCCCCCGCCAATTCCGTTGTATCACAACTGATGCCCCCTCCTTCGTTGTATTGTACAGACGTCTGTTGAAGAGTGCAACCGACGCCGCCTCATCTGCTGTCATGCGATCCATAAAGTGGTGAATGATATGAAGGTGTGATCCATACTCGGCATTGAGCAGGTGATTGTGCAACACCGCACTGAGAAACCATGGTCTTCCACTATTTTGCATGGATCGAATAATGTCCTCTGTCACTATACTGTCTTGATGCACATTTAAGGGGCCCAGCTTTTTGGTCATAAAGGGAGTAAGTGTGTCGCGCAGAAGGACGCTCTCAACACCTTGTATCATCCGGTTGAGTGAGAGCTCCCGCCTTCCTTTGGTTCCCGAGATGGCGTAGGCGTACTGCCACTTCAGTACGTTGTAATTGTATGTTGCGCCCTGGGGGAGCACGGGACCGTGCAAGTTCAACAGTGTTACATGACAGTCTCCAATACGGATCACAAACATGTAGTGCCCAAGCGGTTTTTCACAGGAGAGTGTACTGTTAACTGTCTCCTCCAGCTGCACAAGGGTGCTGATGGGTCTGAAGCAGCTATCAGGTAGGGCCCGCCACGTTTTCCACTGAGGGCGTTTATCAGAAATATGATTCGCAACAACCTGCGGCTCCACGCAGGTTTCTCCCAAAATATCATACATCACTTCACGTGCGACACCTACGGTGTCAAACTCACAGGTGAAGACAACAGCCGCTACAGATACGTTGTTATTCTTATAAATAATGATTCCATCCTCCTCGTTAATACTACCTTTATCGTGGATAGCTTCCTCTGGGTATGGAAACCAGTAAACATCATGACGCCGAATGGCATTTGTTACAGGGTTGATCAAAAGTCCATGGTGGTGACGACCTGAGGTGTCTTGAAGCACGTAGGCTCCTGGCCCCTCATCCATGTTTAGCGTCGCAAGCGGCACACCACGTACGGATATAAAAAATCGACCAATTTCACCATAAAACAGCCGTCGCACCTCGTGGTTGCGGGTATTGTGACCCCCCAGGCACACCCAGTCCCCAAAGGGAACAAACCGTCGTGGTCCCTCCCTCACCAGGTAAAGGAGCTCCTGCGCCACGCCATCCAGCTTTACCCTGTACGTGTTTGCCTCACTGTCGATGCATTTCCATACCAAGGTATGCCACTGGCCGTCCATCGCATTCTGGTGTTCGCTCCCGCGCAGCAACGCTGAGCAGCATGCGCCAAAGGCATCCACGAGATACAGGGTAATGTTAAACTCGTGGTAGCGAAAGCGTTCCTTTTCAAAAACGGGTTCGGCATTCATCACAATACCTAATTCCTGCATTCTGCATTTTCGGTCAGTCACACCAAGCAAACTCATCGTCCGATTGCTCACATTGGTCCGAAATCGGATTTCCAATCTCCAATTGCAAAGCAGTTCGCCAAGAACACCAAGCGTCCCCAAATTCACCACAAGATTCCCATCCAAAAAAGGTGATGTAATTGGAGGAGGACCCGCCTGTCGCTCAAGGTTTAATAACGTCTCATCGTGTTCTGCAGGAATGGTGTGCATCATTTCCATCAATTTTTCTCCATCCGCAAGCAGTGGCCATCGAACGATTGTCGTGGGACCATCCGCCGTGTTTACCCCAAATCGTAGCTCACAAATGACCCCATGGAATACGCATTTCGGCATGTTTGATTCGTCCATGTATCCCCCAACAAACAGACGATGTGGCCACGCGTTAAAGTAGATGGGATACTCTTGTTGCACAATTTGTAGAGTCGCAGGTTGGCCATCGAACAAGCATTCCAGGCTCCCTTCTTCCAGGCTCTGGACGTTGAGTAGGAAGTGGTGAAAACACGGCCCATCCTCTGTTAAGAAGATGTTCGACTTCAGTGGCATTAAACATTCTAAAACTCGGTTGGTACTATCACGGACGTATATGCAAATCGTCTCATACGTGTGCTCATTGTGTTTCAAACTGATCTGAAACAATTGGCCAAGGTCCGCCCGTGGTCCGTCCATGATGTGAATCAAGACACGCTTTTCATACACTTCAGCTGAATCCATTCTAAACCAAAAATCCACCGAGAACCCTTTTATAACATCCTCAAACTTTGGTATCCCTGGTAGCCCCAATAGGGAGGTGCTGCCGTCAAATACATAGTAGTTCATCTCCTTTCCCCATCCATTGCCCTTCAAAGGCTCAACAGCTTCCCCCCCAGTCGCTTCGCCGAGAATCTCCAGGATACTCATAGTGGATCTTCGCCGCGTTCGCAAGCCGTGGTAAGAACTATTCGGGGTGGTAGTCTTGGTACGACGTGAACCTGGACCTGAGTATGTAATTCGCATTGGGGGGAGGGCTGCAAAAGACTCTGGTGACAGATACGAGCCCCTCACGCATGGTGGCACCAGCTCTCCGTGATGTGCGGATGTCAAGATGGTAAACCTTTCCTTCGCCTTCTGCCCGGAAACAAGGATGTACAATTTCTGCTTTCGAAGCCGTTTCAAATTCTGTGACAACTTGGCGGAGATCTTGAGGCCTGCGGGGGGAGGCCTTGCCGTCTCATTGGTGTTCTTGACGGACTCCTTTACCATACACATGTTCGACTCGTGCTCCAGTTGTAGCAGGCGTTGCATCTGCTTTTCCTTCGCCAATTCATCGGCCACGAACTGCATAGCATTTTCCGCCGCCTGCTCGATGCACTTTTGCAGTGAACGAAGAATCCGCTCAACAAATTGATCCGCATGAGCCCCTCGGTTGACAACAGTGACGTTTTCTCGTGCTGCGACACGCGCACTCACATCGGACATGAGCACCTCCAGCACATCCTGTTCCGTACTATTCGTTGAACTGCTGTCTTCCTTCTTGGCGTCCATAAAGGCGTCAAACGAACACACAAAGAACGGGTGCGCGGAAGCCTCTTCCAGTGAGAGGTCTTGGTTCGCCGCACACGCAACCTCAGCTTCCGGTGGGCCATGTCGGGAGTCGTAAAACACCGCAACATTCCCATTGAAGGATGAAAATTGATACCGCTCGTGCCTTCTGTCTACACTGCGCCCTTCTTCTCTGTTCAACACTGAGAAAACAAGCACCATCACAGTACCTTTTCCTCCGTTTTTCTTTTAATGCTCCTTTTGCGTGTGCGCGAGTGTATATGTATTTCCTTAGTCCCTCTACCTTCTCATACATGGGAAAAAAAAAGAATAGAGCGATGCATGCATGTACATACACCCACAAACATAGAAAGACGGGCACGCACTGATACAGAGATGCACAAAGAAGAAAAATAAGAATAATAAAAAAATAGCAGAAAAAAAAACGCCGGTGACGAAACTCACAGGGAGGCCTCACCCTATATCCCACCAGATGAAAACTTATTGGTCATGCCAGCGCATATTCCTTTTTTTTTTTGTTGTTGTGCTTTCAATTTTTATTCTTTAGATGGACATAATAGGTTTGCATAAATTATATATACATGTATATATAATTTATGCCCTCGCGCTACTCCCTCTTGTTGTCACGAGCGGGGGGCCAAGACACCAGTTCTGTACATGCAGGATAATCCTGTAAATCCCGTTTGTCACACCTTCGAGCGTTTCTTCTTCCTCTTGGTGCCCTTGCCATTCTGCTCAAGCGCATTCTGTATCATGAGAAACTGCTGCGCCTCCATGCGTTCATTTACGCAAAACTGGACTAACCGCTTGTTTCGTGATATAACAGACGCAATCAACGAAGCCGCCTCTGGCACAAGCAAATTATAATCCATGTCCACAGCTGTGAGGGAAACGCTACTCTCCACACCTTGGCAAAACGCCTCCACCGCCTGGTACGACCCACCGAAGCTGGTGCCAGCAACATCAATGGCATCAATACGCCCACCTATACTCAGGGCCATCCCAATGGGTTTTATTCCCTCAGGCCCTATGGAGTTGCCACGAAGAGAAAAGACACGAACGTTGGAACATCGCAGCACCCCCTCCGCCAGGGCTTCCGCACCGGAGGACCCAATGCCACAATACTGCAAAGAAAGATCCTCCAGTGTTCCATTCCATCGCACTGCATTGGCGATGGCTCGAGCACCGGCATCACCTAGAGGATTGAAGTCAAGTACGCAACGCGTGATGGTCTCATTTTCGCTCAATAGCTTGGCAATATGCTTGGCCCCAGCGTGCCCTATAAGGCATTCAGGAACTTCAAAGCACTGTATTCCAAACGGATTTCGATCTGGAGACGGCTTATAAGATCGAATAAACTCCACAATGGTAAGAATACCATCATCGCCGACGGCGCAGCGGTGCAGCTGAATGATCCTGAGAAACGGGTAACTAGAAAGAACATCCAAAAAGAGAATCTTTATCTCGCCGTATGGGATTGGACTGTGTATAAACAGAGGAACCATGGGAACGTCTGCTTGCTCGCCGTCCTTGACGCGTTGCAACTCCAGTCTGACGCGCTTCATGAACGGTGCAATGTAATCTCCAAGGGAACTGCACGCCTCATGTAACCGCCGTAAATCTACATCTACATTTAACTCTTGAGCAACAGATATAACCACCGCCTTGAACTTCCCTTTTTGTGAGGGGGAATTTGTACTCATTGACTAACGTCACGCTACCGCTGCAAAGATACAAGAGAAAAAAAAAACAACGGAGGGCCACAACTAACAACAACGACCACACACAAAACAAATAACAATAATAGACCCTCCTTCGCTTCTTCACACTACAACAACGTGACACGATTTATGAAATTAACAAAAACGACATACATGATGGCGATGGGAAACATAGTTGCTCAAAGCCGGTTTTGCGCATAGGCGAGATGCGTCGTCACTCCAGTCTTACATACAAGGGGGCGAGGCAGAGAATAACAGCAACGCCTATTCCGCATTCCCCAATGAAAGCTGAACCGACTGGAAAAACAGCTGACGGAGCTCCAAAAGATCGACCGCGCCGTTTTCGTCAGTTTCAAGAAGATCCAAAATATCTTTTTTACCCATGGCCTCAGACTCATTCAGCCCCACAGCTCGTTGCAGATCCGCCAGTAATGCCGGCAGCTTCTCTGTGGTCAATCGCCCATTGCCATTGACGCCGTAATTGTTAAACACTTCTCGGACAGCATCGGTCTCCTCATACCCCACAGAAGAGATGGGATTCACGGCTTCAGCCTTGTCGACTTCGGCGCCCGCAAAGTGCTCCATCGTTTCCTGCTCACATGATTCAACATACTGTCCGTCCTTGTCAAAAGGAGCAGCCTGACCACAAAGCGCTGCAAAAAAATTTGCGCTATACTTGTAGAGATCCTGCGGTCTATCGCGGAGGACCGCCTTTGTGTATTGTTTCATGATTGTCCCCAGCTCAGGGGGGACGTTGACCTGCTCGACGCAAAAGATGGACTCCATAACTACCAAAAGGGCTCTGCGCCTGCATGAGGAATGTGGAGGTCAGGAGAGTGACATCATTTAAATACGAAGCAAATTATAATCCAACAATAAGAAAAAGAAATGTGAAGCTGATGGACATGACACCATTCCAGCAATAGAAAAGATAAAAACGAACAATAGCGCATAAAACGGCCAAACACCATAACGAGAGTAAATACCGATGAGTCCATAATACAGTTCGCACCATGGTGTGAGCCCAAGCACAGAAGTTTTATGCTGGGATGCGGAAGTGAAATAAATTACGAAAAATACATACAAAAGTTTTTTTACCCTTTTTCTCTCTCCCTGTGTGTGCGTGCGTATAAGAGAGAGCAAGGAAAATTTATTTGTGGACACTATGGCAAGACACTCCTTATGCCACTGCGACGAGCAGTCGCGCAAAAGTATAGTAAAAGAAATCACACACACACACAGACAGGCAGACAGACAGACATACACAAATGAAGCGATCGACAACGCATGCCACTAACTACTGTAATGATGCTTATAAATCGCACTCTTTCGCTTTTCTAAAAAGAAACCCAAAACAAACGAAACAAATGCAATTCACACAGCAATATATATATATATATATATTGTTCTTAAATGTCAATATGTCAATACATGTTTATGTGCGTACTTAATCTGAGATGCTCACATTTTTTTCCTCCTCTGTATCCGATGCCTTGAAGTGGTAGCGCGCAGCGGAGTACCAGGCACCTGCGGCAAGAGCAATGACGCAGCCAGCACCGTCAACAGGCCCCATGTGATCATGTAGAATGAAAAGTCCGATAATAATATTTACAAACTTTGTCAAATTGTTAACGACCATGAATGTGGCGTCCGACACAAGCTTTTGAAGGGCGAATCCTGACGTTGAAATCATGAAGCTGAGAACATAAGTGACTCCAATCCAAAACCAACTAAGACCCACGACGGTGGGCAGTAGCACACCCACGAGTTGCAATTCCTCGATGACAAATAGGAGAAAAATCATCGGAGTGGCGATAAGATTATTATACAGTGCCAACGTGTACTTGGGGGCGGATACGAACCCCGGGACAGTACTCGTCATGTGTCTCACAAGAATCCGATAGCACCCTTGTCCAACAATGTTTGCGAGCATCCACACCAGTCCAATAACGGAAAAGGTGGAGTTCACCCAGCCGTATACCACAGCTCCGCAAAAGACGACGACCTCTGCCAAAAATAATCTCAACATTCACCACTTCGCCAAGTACATAATACTCTACGACTGTCGTAACGATGAACCCAGAGTTGCATACAATAATAACAGTCGGAACGCTCGCATAAACAAAACTCTTCATACTTGTATACAACATGAGGACAAAAAATAACGCCACGGGAATCCAGACAGGCCCATTTTTAGGTGTCATCGCCTTCACATGTGAGGGGAATGGAAGGAGCAACGCAAGTGTGGCGATCATCTGCAGCAATACCAGAGTACACAGCAACGGCAGAGATGTCACGGCGAGCGTATTGCTCAACATTATTCCCACGGATGACACACAAAACATCAATAGTGCATGAATGTAGACTGCAGTACTGTACATTCTCAACTAATATGACACATCAAGAGAAAATACAAGAAGAGTGATAAACACATTTACGAACCATTACGGGAAAAATTAAAAAAAAACCGCAACCAACAACAACAAAAACCACAAGGAGCACCCATCCCAAATGAAGAAGAAAAGAAAAAAATAACAACAGTGTTGCCAAACAATGAGTAGAATCCACTAACACTACTGAGATAAATGGGATAGGGTGGCCGCTTGATCCAAAACCACCTGCTGCAACCGTTCTTTGGAGAGCAATGCCTCCTCCAGGGAGGCTTGTGCATCATCTAGCTCCTGCATGCATTTTATCCGCTCATCCTTTTCTTTTCGCAGTTGTTCCTGCAGATTCTGAAAAGCTACACTTTTCTCTCGAAGTGTCTCTTTAGTATCATCCAGCTCTGCACGAAGTGGATTAGACCTATCGTCGCTGTCTGCACTTATCATTCCTTTTACAACAAGACGGGCATTTGCATTCTCCAACTCTCTCAAACGATGTGACTCCGTTTCATAAACAGATTGTAGGCGTGCAAGGTCACGTTGAAGTGATTCAGATCGGTGACGAAGAAGCATACATTCATTCTCCTTTAAGACGACCTGTTTGCTAAGTTCAGCACAACTTTGTTGTAACTCTTCGCTTGTCCTGTCCTTTGCCAAAGAAACTTGTTGCAACTCATTACACTTGCCTTCTAATTGTGTCGTCAATGCCTCTACTTGTACAAGTCTTCGATGAAGTTGGCTATTTTCGTATTCAAACGTCTGCAAATCCAATGAAAGTTGCTGATCTCTATGATGCATTTGATTTAACTGTTCTTGCAGATATATTATACGTTGTTCCTTAGAGGCTAATGTTGCACGAGTAGCTTCTAATTCACGTTCTATGGTGCGCTGAGCTCCCACTTGCGATTCCGCTTCCTTTACAGCATTTTGATACGCAGAAAGAATTTCACGCAGTTCTCCATCTTTTGCTTTCAGAGAGTATGCTAGTTGCGCCTCATGCTGATGTAGACGCTGGACTTCATCTAAGAGTCTTTCGTTTTCACTAGCAAGTTGCCCAACTTGTTGATTGGAGTAATTTTTATTTGCCACAAGTTGTTCCATATCTTTTTGATATTGTTGTAGTCGCTCTTCCAGCCCACTTTTATCGCGTTCAATACTCATAGCGTTTATCCTCAACTGTTGCTTTTGCTCTTCCACATGGTTAATTCTGGCCTGTAATTCTCGCTCATTTGCCGCCTGCTGACTACACTTTTGTTGCAAAGAGCGCACCTGCAAAGACAACTTTTCTGCGTCGTCACTGAGGAACTTTCTTCTTTCAATTTCCTCTGCAAGAGATTTTTTCATCGTTTCAGCAGTTACAAGGGCATCTCGACAAGCAGAAGAAAGATCATCAATTCGAGCCCGTAACTCATCACATTCGGTACACTTAAGTTCTAGTATGTGCGTTAAACTCTGGACAGATTGTGTGCCACCGTCAGTAGAACATGTTATGGAATTTACTTGACATTCCTTTTCTGCGACGCGCAACAAATCCACTTGAGTCGAGGTATCACATAAATTCTTCTCGGTTTGAGTTTCAGCTTGAATTTTATCAACGTTCAATGCACTATAGAGTTGAGCAAGTTGTTGTTGAAGCGATGATCTTTCATCAGATAAAACCTGAATGACTTCCTGCAGGCTCTTAATCTGTATTCCAGTCGCCACAGATTCATGTGATGCCATCTTCTGAACTTCTGAAACTTCGGATCTACGTTCTTTCAGGGTTGCCTCAAGTTTTCGGATCTTTGTACAATATTCGTTCTTCTCAATAAGCAACGAATTTTTTTCTGATAGAGCAATAGCAAGTTGATTTTCAAGCGTTTTGCAACGAACAACAAGATCCTCTCCTTCAGTACCTCGTCTTTTTCGGGTTCTAAACTGTTCTGTAATAGCGCGACCCTCCTTTTCCTTTTGATCGAGCTTTTCATTAAACTCCACAGCAAGACTACGTGCCACTTTCGTACTATCTGCACGAACAGTTGCGACATGTTGCTCTAGTCGCTCAACTTCATTGTGTAAAAAATCAATCTGAGATAAGAGATGAGCTGTATTTTCATCGTGTGTATTTGTACGGCCCGAGGTGTTCTCCTTGTAACATTTCTTGAGTTCAGCAATTTCCTGTAAACATGCATTCAATTGCTTGTTTTTATTACTCAGTTGTTCTTCTAGTGCAGAAATCACAACGGCGTCATCAACGTGTGGCGTGGCATTATTCAGCTGCTGCCATGCCTTCTCAGGAAACACGTTAAGACCCTTATTAAGTGTTACACGCTGTGGACTGGGATAAAGGTCAGGTTTTGTAACAGACAACTGAATAAAGTGTCTCAACTGTGCTATTTCGGCCTCCTGGGCGTCACATTCAACCCTTAGGGCTGTGTTTTCGCTAAATAATCCCTCGCAGGTAGCGGCGACACTACACATCCAGAAACTTATGAATGCTGTACAGAAAATTCTCTTCCCACCTACACACACAAAAAAAAAAAAAAAACAACTGTGGAACTGTCGAGTAATAATAATATTTATAACAATAGTTTTTTTAAAAAAATAACCTACGTCCACACGCACCACAAAGCGTTCTACCTGCTCCGAATCTCTTCTAACCAAGAAACAAATAAGGCATGAATAAGTAATAATAATAATAGTAATAATATATATATATATATCCTTTTTATAAATCATCCTTGCTCTTGTTATAAAATTCTTCACGCTGTTTCGAAAACAATTCCCTTTCCAGGGCCTTGATGCGTCGTGAGTTATAACTCTCGGCTGTGATGACCAGGATTGGTACAGCTATTAGACCCACACAAAAACCAAGTGTAAAAACCAGTCCTATTTTGATAGGAACGCGATTTCTGGGACTTTTAAGGGCAAATAAAGCAGCTGAAAAGCTACCAGCAATAATACCTGCATCTAAACCACGTTGCACAGGCTCAGAAGACAAAAAGAAACGCCACTGTTGTGAAAGCGCTTTTCTTTTCATCTGGCCAACACTAAGTCCCTCTTGTTCTATGATGTATTGCTTAAGATCCCTAACTTCGGAATCAGGATACATTTTATTCTCATCCTTCGGACCTTGAATAGCTGCCATCATATCAAGGGTCTCTTTTTTTGCAACTTTATACCGTCCGCACTTAATAAGATCCTCGATATTTGTAGACTCTGGTGCATTCTCTTCATAAATAGGAGTATTATTGCTCTTTAACTCGGCTTGTTTCGCGCTATTGGATTGACCCATTATTCTATAGAAAACAAAGAGGATACTACTGTAGTTGAAAAAACAAAAAAAATGTTTCTGACGACAATGTACCGGGAAAAAGTTACAAATAATAATAATAATAATAACAAATAAATGAAAAACAAAACAAATTAACAACAACAACCCATCACTCACACATGCACGTCTTTGGTAAAGAGAATAAGAAACAAACAAAGTAACAATAAACTCTTTAAGTATCCGCTAATACACCACATAACAATAGCTTCCACCAAACAACAACAATAAGCCAACAATAAGTCGCGCAACACCAGCAAATTCTTTTCCAAAATAATACGCTGAACAAAAAAAGATCAAAACAACGCGAACCTGTTTTAAAATGCTATAGGACAAAGGAGTCACATAAAATAAAAGCACACCATTGACAACTTGATACACCCCATAACTAAGGCCCACAACCACTATTTGTTTCCACACGTCAAGATTATACCCAACAATATTTCTTCCTCTAAATACCAAAGCAGGTCCCAGCAGCGTCACGGAACCACAAAACATCATAAAACAATGCACGACAGCTGCCGGGAAAATGGAACCATCTCTCTGAATTGTGTGCAGCAAAGGCTTCATTAGTGTAGTCCGCAATGCTAGAGCACAACTACTGGCAAAAACAAGGCAATAAGTGAACATTATTGCAGCATCACTACGAACGGTCTCACCACTACGTTCTAAAGACCCAGAAATTAGAAGAGCTCCAATGCACACAAAAAATACGGAAATCCACGTGATGAAAGAAATAGTTTTTGGAGACACAAGGTGTAGTTCACCATCAGTCAAATAACTTTTTCCCTCTTTCTCACCTATCATAAATCCTCGTATCGCCCTTTGCATAATTTCAGTTGAAAGAAGACACATGACCAAGGGCTCCGTCGTCTTAATAGCATAGGCATGAGTCATGCTTGACAATGTGAAACTGAAAAAAAATAGCCCTGTAGCGAGTACATTGACATAACATACAGCCAGAAACAGCTTCAAGAGGGCAGTACTTTCGTAGAAAGTAATTGCTGTATGCCACATCTTGCACCAGGAACCACGTCTACAAAGAAGACATATTGTACCAGGGATCAGGCAACCCACAACATTAATAAAGAAGACTATCTCTAAAACTGAACCATTTTTCTCGACAAAAGTCGCACTTCGAATGTCACATAGCAAGATACTGACGCACCAAAGCAGGAGAATCAGAGGTATTTTAAAATACCAAAGAAACATTTGGCTTGGAACAAGACTCGGAAAATACAACTACCTCCACGTAAGAAGAAACAAACAAAAGTAAAGAAAGAAAGAATAAAATATTGAGTAAGAAAAAAAAGAACAGGCGCAGCAGAATTAGAAATGACTCGGCTCAAAAATAACGGCGGCGCCCCCGGTCGGGCCAACACGAGAAAAGAGCGCGCGCCACCGCCTTGGCCACGTAGCGCCCCCCACGGCGGGGGCAGCTGCTTTCCTCTCCCCCTTTGCCGCCGGGGCGCCCACAAAACACAAAGCGCCGGGCGCCGGGAAAGACCCCAAAGGCGGGCGTCTTTTTTTTTTTCAGTGCCGGGGGCGGCCGGGGTGTATAGCGT